CCTCCCCCTCCTCGTCCTGCTGCCCCTCCTCCTCCTTATCCTCCTCCTCGTCTTGCTGCTCCTCCTCCCTCCTCCTCCTCCTCCTCGTCTTCCTCCTCCTCCTCCTTCTTCTCCCTGACCTCCTCCCCCGTCCCCCCCCCACCTGCTCCTGCGCCAGATCGTGAATGAGACGCGGCAGGCTGCGTGAATAAGACGGCGCCCATGCACCTACGTCCGCGGGCAGTGTGCGCGCGGGTGAACGCGCAGTCGATCCCCGCGGCATCCCCCCCCCCCCCCACCCCCACACGCACCCACCCCACCCCGCCCCAACCTCGAACTGGGCGGCGCAACGGGCCGCTTCTGTCAAAGCCTCGCCCCCCCCCTCGGGGGCGGTTAACCCGCCCGTCCCGCTGGCAGACCGCGGAGGCCTTGGATATGGAATCCAGGGCCTGGATAGCCTCTTGGAGACCCACTTGCGCAGAACGGGGGGGGGGGGGGGGGGCACAAGTTGCCCTCCCCAATCATTGTGAGCTCTCTACCCCCCCTCCGTCTCCTCCCCTCCCCCCCCATACTTCCTCCTCCCTCCCGCCTCCCGCCCCCCTCCCACCCTTCCTCCGCCCCAGATCCCCATGGGGAGGGGGGGGGGGGGGCGGCGGGTGAGCGGTGCAGTTGCAGTTGCGCGCCCGCGCGCGGGTTGAAATGCGTCGCCCAGTTGGGGTTGCGGTTGCGCGCCCGCGGGCGGGTTGAAATTTGTCGCCCAGTCGCGGTTGCGCGCCCGCGGGCGGGTTGAAATGCGTCGCCCAAGTGCGGTTGCGGTTCCGCGCCCGAGGGCGGGTTGAAATGAGACGCCCAAGTGCGGTTGCGGTTGCGCGCCCGCGGGGCGCGTCGAAATGCGCGGCGCAGTTGCGGTTGCGCGCCCGCGGGCGGGTTTGAAATGTGTCGCCCAGGCGCGGTTGCGGTTGCGCGCTCGCGGGCGGGTTGAAATGTGTCGCCCAGTAGCGGTTGCCGTCGCGCGCCCGCGGGCGGGTCGACGTGTGTCGCCCAGTTGCGGTTGCGGTTGCGCGCCCGCGGGCGGGTTGAAATGTGTCGCCCAGTTGCGGTTGCGGTTGCGCGTCCGCGGGCGGGTTGAAATGCGTCGCCCAGTTGCGGTTGCGGTTGCGCGCCCGCGGGCGGGTCGAAATGTGTCGCGTAATTGCGGCTGCGGTCGCGCGCCCGCGGGGCGCGTTGAAATGCGTCGCCCAGTTGCGGTTGCGTGCCCGCGGGCGGGTTGCAATGTGTCGCCTAAGTGCGGTTGCGGTTGCGCACCCGCGGGCGGGTTGAAATGTGTCGCCCAGTTGCGGTTGCTGTTGCGCGCCTGCGGACGGGTCGAAATGTGGCGCCCAGTTGCGGTTGCGTTTGCGCGCCCGCGGGCGGATTGAAATGCGTCGTCCAGTTGCGGTTGCGCGCCCGCGGGCTGTTTGGAATGTGTCTCCCAAGTTGCGGTTGCGGTTGCGCGCCCGCGAGCGGTCTGAAACGTGTCGCCCAAGTGCGGTTGCGGTTGCGCGCCCGCGGGCGCGTTGAAACGCGTCGCCCAGTTGCGGTTGCGGCTGCCCGCGGGCGGGTTTGAAATGCGTCGCCCAGTTGCGGCTGCGCGCCCGCGGGCGGGTTGAAATGTGTCGCCCAGGTGCGGTTGCGGTTGCGCGCCCGCGGGCGGGTCGGAATGTGTTTCCCAGTTGCAGCTGCGGTTGCTCGCTCGCGGACGGGTCGAAATGTGTCGCCCCGTTGCGGTTGCGCGCCCACGGACGGTTTGAAATGTGTTGTTCAAGGTGTCATCCTGACGGTCAGTCAGTCAATCAGTCAGTCGATCAGTCAGTCAACCAGTCAGTCAGTCAGTCAGTCAGTCAGTCAGTCACCGGCGGGAGCGGAATTTCACCCGGCTCCGCCGGGAATAATTTGAGCCAAATGAGCGGCGGCAGAGAGCAGGTGAGGAGAGCTGCGAGCCTTCTGGAATCACACTTAATTGCCGGATGGACTTGCGCCACGACGCCCGAAGTGCCCTTGGACTGACGTTCCTGCCGGACATCGGCGTCTAGCCAGAGCTCTGCATTTTCGAGGATCGTGTTCGGGAACTTGCTGTGGATCTTGACCCTTGGCAGGATCTTCCTGGCGACGAGGCTGCTGGTGCAGGCTTAGCGGATGGCAGTGCGACTCTTCAAGATGTCGGCGCCGAGCTACCTGCTGGCGACGACCCTGCCCTACTCAATTGGCACCGTGCTCGTGCTGCGCCCGATTTCTACTGCCTGGAGGTCCTCCCTGAGGGCCCTGGGATTTCTACTCGTTTGGCATGCCGCTACCATCCGCACTGAGCATTCGGCGATGGCTGCACCAACTCCCGCCTGACAGAGCTGACTGACGAGGCACTTGATGCTGAACGCGAGCGCCTTTGTCGCCTCCATCCTGCGCATGCCGACGCTCGGCCGATGGCCGGAGCTCTGGCTGGCTCGGGCCGCCGGCCGCGCTGCCTTGGAGGTGCGCGCCCTGGCTGGACAAGCTGCCGATCCAGCGCCTGACGCTGGCGCCAGCGCACGCGAAGTTCTTCGAGCTGCCGCGGTCCGCGTCGGACTTCCCGTTGAAGGTTACGTTTCCCATTGCTACGACCACGTCGGAGGTTGCGTTCCCCATTGCTACGACCGCGTCAACAGCTTCAGAGGAATGTGGATTCAGCCCCCGCCGCTGGGCGCGCGCGATGCTTGGCTGGCTGCTGCCGCTGAGGGTGGCCACCGACAGCTCGGTCTCGATCGCGCTGCTGCTGCGCCGATCGTGCTGGACCTGTTTGGGGTGCGGCAGGTTTGGACGACAATGGCGACGACCCGCTCTTCCTGGCGCTCCTTGCCGATGCTGGCGCTGCGCGCGACGGTCCTCAGAGTCGCGAGGGCGTTGGGCACCGCGGTCCTCGGCCTCGCCTGCATGAGGGAAATGAGGCTGCTGGACTCCTGGGCCATTCTGATATCGATGGAGCTGCTGATGGTCCTGCCGCTGCTGCGGCGTACTCCCTGTGCTTCACCCTCCTGCAGGGCTTTTGCAATTTGTCGGCGGCGCTGCTACGGGCCCCTCCGCTGCTGAGCCCGCTCTCCCCGAGCTTCCTCTCCCACCAGACGAGCGAGGCTGCTGGTGCACTCCTTGCACCTCGCCCTCCTGCTCGGCTTCGGCCGCGCGTCGACGCAGCTGCTGCAGGTCCTGCCGCTGCTGAGCCCGCGCGCCATTCACAGTGGCCTTGCGTTTTACATCTTCTTCCACCTGACGGCGCCGGGCGGCGTCTTCTTGCGAAACTTACTTCCGGAAAAAAAGGCCTCATGCCGCAGACGTTGATGACCAGTGGTGTGCGTTGGGTTCCTTAGCTGCTTGCGCTGGGCTCAGGGGACTGGGTCGCGCGGTGCCAGGCGGCCCTCTCTTTCGACATCGTGACCTACCGCAGCTTCGCTCACGCAGCAAAGCTCTATCCGTTCTTGCTAGCCACTTTGTTCATGGGCGGCGCCATCGGCACATACTGCGCTGTGCAGCATGCGCGCGATGTAGATGTTGATGTGCGCTTTCATGGGTGTGTGGCGCCCGGCGCCTGTTTCTGTCGACGTTGCGACCTTCTGCAGCTTCGCTCCTGCTGCAAGGCTCTTTTTTCTCACGTCGACTTTCTTCCATATCATGCGCGGCAGCTCCGACCCGTTCGGCGTCTTGTTCGCCGACCCCCTCGACTCGGCATGGGCCCCCCCCCCCCGTCATCGCCCCTGCTGCCCCAACGGTCGCGGAAATTGACACGGCCGTGTTCGATGAGGCGCCCAACGACGTTGACTAGTTTGTCTGCGCCGACTCCGACCTGCTGTACCGCGACGCTGAGGCTCTGAGTGGCTCCGAGGGCGCGTCGGGCGCGGCCTACGGCAGGACGGGCCGCCCCCAGGGACGCTGGCTCCTCCTCCTCCTCCTCTTCCTCCTCTTCCTCCTCCTCGTCGCTCGCCTTTTCGTCGTCAGAAGGGGGCCCTCCTGCTCGTGAGCCCTTTGGGCCTGGGTCGAGAGAAGGCGGAGGGAAGTTGGGGGGTCCGTCGAGCGGGGGTTCTCCCAAGTTGGGGTTACGGAGCGAACCCATCTGGATCCCAGGAGCCTTGTAGAACGATTTTCTTCTAACCTCACTCTGCTGCTATTCCACTTGCACGTCCCCTGAAGGTGGGTTGGAAGGGATGATGGGGGGAGCGATGAAGAGGGAGGGGGAGGAGGGTTGAGAGGGGAAAGGGAAGACCAGGGGGAGAAGAGACGAGAGAGGGGAGATGACGGGGAGGAGGGGGGCAGGAAGGAGGAAGGGGAGGGGTGGACAGGAGGTGTGGGTGGTGCCTTCGTCATACGATTGCCCTTCCCATGTTGACATGTCGTACGACGTTTTCGGCCATGATCGCCAAATTGGCAGAGAGGCGACCGATTCCAGCGTGCGCGCAGAGCCGATGCACGTAGCACTCAACGCAACGTCTGGCCCCCTTCCGTCGGTGCCATCGGGAACGGTGGATGTGACTGCCAATGGAGATCGGACCGTATAGTTTGAATTATGTGGTAAAACGCGTCCGAATCGATCCTTCAAATATCACCATCGGTCTGGCGCGTGGGAGGCTTTTACATCCAAATCGTCTCCCGAGCGAGTCGGTCACTTGAGCGTTACGCGCACTGGGCTTCAGAGCTTTGCCCCGTCCCCCTTTTCCATGGCGTCTGGGCTAAGGCGCGCAGCGATGCTGGTGAGTGGTGGTGGCACTGATGAGAAGAGGTGATCGCGGGTGGGGGGGACTGTGGGTGAGTGGGGCCAGGGGGCGCCAGAAGTTGGGCGGAATGGGTCGGGAGAGAAGGAGCGCGGGGCCAGCATTACGATTTAGACCATGCGCCCGCATTTCCGTCCCTATTCCCACGCTCGTCTCACAGAGTTTCTGGTGCGCGCCGCTTGTGGAGGCAAATGTTGCTGGGGTGTCCGACCCCTTTGCCCAAACAAAGAACCCAGCCCTCGTCCTGAGGTTCGCGCTGCACCATTTCGACGAGCTTATCGAGCGTCCAGAGGTATTCATGGGGGCCCTGCAGGAACTGCCAGAGGTCGTGAGCGACCTGTTCAAACTGGGTCGTCGCTGGAAGGACGAGACCACTGACAATCGGCAGCAGGATTGCTCACCCCCTCATCCCTCCTCCTCCTCCTCCTTTCCTCCTCCTTTCCTCTTCCGCCCTCCTTCCTCCCTCCTCCTCTTCGTCCCTCCTCATCGTATTCCTCCTCGAGTGTCTCCGCAACGAATTGTGACATCTGAGTTCGAATTGATGGTCTCGCAATGCTAGGTCCATGGGTGGCGTTGGTCAATCAGTGATCGCCACCATCTGTGCTGATCCACGCAGTCCGCTCGCGAGCGCGTGTGCTTTGCCCACCCACAGTGGGGCATTCTGGACAGGATCTGGTGAGCTTACGCTCTTTTCCTCCGCACATGTCTGCGGCACAGGCATTGTTCCCCATTGTGTGTGTGCTTGCGTGTATGCATGTATGTATGTATGTATGTATGTATGTATGTATGTATGGTCCTGGGCTTGGGCCCCCCCCCTCCCCCAATGCTGATGCCATTGGCCCCGCCCCCCCGCGCAATGGTCCCCCCCGCCCCCCCCCCTGTGGGCGTGGCGTGGTGCTGCGCTGCGGTGGCCCCCCCCCCCTGTGGATGTGGTGTGGTGCTGTGGTGGTTCAGAGGTCGTCGTCGTCGTCGTCGTCGTCGTCCTCGTCGTCCTCGTCGTCCTCGTCGTCCTCGTCGTCGTCGTCGTCGTCGTCATCGTCGTCGCCGTCGTCATCGTCGTCATCGTCGTCGTCGCCGCCGCCGCCGCCGGCGTTGTCGCCGCCGCAGCCGTCGTCGTCGTCGTCGTGGTCGTCGTCGTCGTCGTCGCCGTCGCCGTCGTCGTAGTCGTCGCCGTCGTCGTCGTCGTCGTCGTCGTCGTCGTCGTCGTCGTCTCTGGGACCATACCATCTGGGGGGGGGGCCGTGAACCCTCGACCCTGGATCATGTATGTATGCATGTATGTATGTATGTATGTATGTATGGATGTATGTATGTATGTATGTATGTATGTATGTATGTATGTGTGTATGTGTGTGTTGGTATGGGCTTGTTATATGCGGTGCTTCGCCCGCCCTGCCGGACGGGCAATGCAGGAGCAGGAGGAGGAGGAGGAGGAGGAGGAGGTGGGTGATGAAGACGACAGTGATGAGGGGGAGAAGGGGCCGGCCCCAAGACCCACTAGAACACCCTGAAAATGTGGTAACGTCCGACGTTGTCAGACATCCCAGATGCGTCCTCCAGCCCCTCGATCCTCCCTTCTCCCCGGCCCTACGGGGTCCGACCTCAGGTCAAGAGCCCTCGTGGTTTGAGTGGCTTCGTCGTAGCGTCGTAACGGTACCCTGCTGCAGCTCCCAGACACAGCGGGAAAACCTCTTCGGCGAGTGCATCGCAGCTCCGGGTCGCTCAGCACGGGGCGAGGCCATGGCGGCGCCGCGGGCGCGGCCAGGGAGGGCGGCGCTGGTGAAGCAGTTGGCGCCCGTGGACCTCAGCGCTGGGATCTGCGTCGCGGAGGGCGCCCTACCCGAGCCTGCCAAACAAGCCGAACCCGTGGACTGCGGCGACGAGGTTCTGCGGGGCGGAGGGCGCAGTCAGGCAACAGGCTGGCGCGTCCCCAGTGTGAAAACTCAGTGGGAATTTCTAGTTCCCTACCTAGGCTCTGCCTAGAAGGGTTCTTACTCTCAGGGCTTAAATGGGCCGGGCAGTGGAAAGCGCCCCGGGCGGTTCCCCCAGTATCCGCCCCGCGGTTCCCCCAGTCACGTCTCTTTAGCTTAGCGTTGCTTATCTCATCTTAGCTTAGCTTCTTTCATATTAGCTTAGTTTAGCTTCATCTAGCTCAGGTTTATCTTAGCATGGGTGTATTTTCCTACCTAGGCTCTGCCTAGAGGGTTAGCTTAGCTTAGCTTAGCTTAGCTTTGCATAGCATAACGCAGCGCTGCATTAGCATAGCGTATCATAGCATAGCATAGCCAAGCAGATCATATCATAACATAGCATAGCGCAGTATAGCATAGCATATCATAGCATATCATAGCGCAGCTTAGCATAACATGGCATAGCATATCATATCATAGCTTAGCATGACACAGCGCAGCATGGCATATCATGGTTTGGCATAGCATAGCATAGCATAGCGCAGCATAGCATAGCATATCATGGCATATCATAGCATATCATAGCATAGCATAGCATAGCGCCGCATAACATGGCATAGCATAGCATAGCGTAGCATAGCAACTAATGCTGCTTTCCGAGGGGTTCCAACTTCTAGGTAGGGTCGCACTGGGGTAATTTGATTTCTTCCCCGAGGCCCCCTTTTCCGATCGAACTGTTTCAGACTTGCTCGCGTGTCGGGTGTGGTCAGCAGCCATTCGCCGTGGGCATCGCCGCCTTTTCGTTGTCCGCCCTCTGTCTTTGTTCGAATGCGTCGTCCTGCCGACGCCGCGACGGTGAATCTGTGAAGTTCCGGAGACTGCGCGCGTGGAGAGACGCCGCGAAACCACCAAGGAGAAGTGCAATGAAAACCATTTTGGAAACCCAGTGGGAATTCAGTGAGAACTGAGAAAATTCGGTGAAACACAGTTCGGCTCGTTTCAAAACAGAAATTTGTTTCATCGGTTTGTGTGTGTTTTTTTTCGAGGCCCGTCGAGGGACCTTTCGCAGTGCGCCCAGTGGCGACGGGGATTTGAATGTTCATGTCGTTCTCTCGTCGAATTGCCTGGCTGCTCAGGGGAGTCGCGTTCGCCGTCTAGTAGGACGGAGCACTCTTCCGTCGCAGCCATCGCGATAGGGCGCCCTTTGCAATCGCGGCCATCGCGCTTGTCGGAGGCGCTGACAAAGACCCCGAGCAAAAATCAGGAGCGCTGCCAAATTCTAGACGTTTCGTGTATCCCCACCAGCGACCGTAGCCCCCTTGGCTCAAACCATCTCGGCTCGAGCACGCCCCCCTTTCAGGTGCGCGCCTGCCGGGACTGCTATTTCTCGGCCGTGATGGCTCACGGCTCTGCATTCGTGGGACTGGAGCGGCCGCGCCGCCGCAGGCTCCTCCGGCCGCTGGCAGCAGGCGGGAGAGCAATGGGGCCGAGGGCGCCCCTTTGACCCGTGGGCGGAGGCCGCAGCTTCCCTCGGCGGGGCGGCGCCGCGGCCGAGGGCCGCCTGGCAGGCCGCCGCCGGCTGGTCGCCTCTGGTGGCCGCCGGCCGGCCGCCGACGCGGGCGGGCCGCGGCACAAGCGTCGCACCTCAGGCGCAGTCCCTGGGGACCGTCTCGGCACGACGCAAACGGCAGCGTGGTGCGGTTGCCCTGCGTTGGAGGAAGGAGCAGCTGCCTCTCCGTGGCGCTTCTCTCTCGGAGGATGCTTGCTTGTGGCGGAGCTTGGCCGAGGGGTTAGCGGCCGTCCGCGCTGCAGGTGCTCATTCCGCTTGCGACCACTGCGGTGCTCCGACCTTTGGGTGCAGGTGCTGGGCGCGCGGCGCTTGGACTCCTTCTGCCGCCGCAGGTGGGGGGCCCCAGGTGGCTTCAGCGACAGCGCAGGCGGCCGCCGCCATGCAGGCTGGGACGGGACGCGCAGCAGCGGCCGCGGCTGGCGTTTCAGAGCATGCTGTGGCCCCTCGGTCCGACGAGAAAGGCGCGAGGCTCGTTGGCCAACAAAGTACCCTTGCATCCCCGTGTCCAGGCCCCGACGCCCTCACGGGCACCCCTGGCGGCCAGCAGACCTCTCAAAGCGTGCAGACGGCCAGCAGCCGTGATCCTCACAACTCTGACTGTCAGAAGGAGGCACGCTTGCTCCCTGACGCCCTTTCGGGCACCCCTGGCGGCCAGCAGACCTCGCAAGAAGACACAGGGCCCGTCAGGCCAGAAGGGAACGGAACGGTTGCAACGATGCAGTGCGCCCAGACGGCCACCAGCCGTGACCCTGGCATCCATCTGGGGCAGCCAGAGTCGACGACCATCCGCCGTAACCTTGGCGACGAGGGATCCGCGAGAGCTCAAGGCACCCTTGCATCCCAGTGCCCGAGCCATCCTCACGACTCCGGCTGTCCGAAAGAGGTTCACTCGCACCCTTGCAGCCTTGTGTCCGTGGGCGATCAAGGCACCCTTGCCTCCCCGTGCCCGAGCGCTGCAGTGTGCAGGCCCGTGCTTGGAGACGGCCCCCGCCTTCTCCCTGACTGCCAGCTAGAGCTCGGATCACAGCATCGCCCGATGGCGGAGACCCGCGAGTGCCCAGGGAGCGTCGGCGCCTGGTCCTGCGGCCCCCCTCTTCGCCACGGCTGGGCGCAGCTCGGGAAGAGGGCGCTCTCGGAGCCCGCGAGGGGCCCGAGCTCCGACTGGAGGGTGCCACCGCAGGAAGGCACAATCGCTCTGGACTGGGCGCAGGCACGCAGTCCGGATGAGTCCATTCAGACGGCCATCAGCCGTGACCTTGGCATCCATCTGGAACAATCAGCACTGACGGCCATGAGCCGTAACCCTGGCGACGAGGGATCTCGAAGAGAAGCCGGGCCCGTTGCGCCAGAAGGTGGCGCAGCGGTTGCGTCATCGAGCTCACAAGGAGAAGCTGGCCCCGCTAAGCCAGAAGGGAACGGGGCTTCAGTCTCAGCGGTTCTCCAAGACAGCATCGCGGCGGTTGGTGACGCCCTGCTGGGCGCCCCCGGCGGCCGGCAGACCTCGCAAGGGTACTTAACGGTTGTGACTTTGGACTCGCAAGGAGAAGGAGGGCCCGACAGGCCAGAAGGCAGTCAGGGGGTCATATCGGGGCGCGCTGCTTTCAGAGGCAGCAGTCCCTCGAGCGAGCCGCAGGCTGCAACGGGATTCGAAGCCTCCTCGCGGGGGAACAGCAGACCCGCCCGGCAGAGACAGGACTCCGAGGCCATCCGCCAGCCTGTCGACCAAAACCCCTTCGCGCCCATTCGCCCCCTCTCCCCTGGCAGCGAATCCGCCCGAGCGGACAGCGAACCGCAAGCCCTCCCTCTCGGAGCCTGGGCCTCGCCGACGAAGGCGACGCCCGCCCCGGAGGGAACGGCGTCTGACCACGTGCCTGCGCCTGGTGCGTCCCGCAGCACTCCCACATCGGGCGATGGCCCCGCGGCGACAGGTGCGGACGCGCCAGCCAGCGTGGACAGGCACAGGACTGGAGGCGAACGCCAGCGGGAAGGGCTCGTTCCCGCATGTCACGCAGCAGCGTTCCTTTCTGCCCCAGCCGCCCGAGGCGACCCGGCCCCAGCCTGGCGGCCATCCGCGCCGCCCGCTCCGGCCCGCATGGCCTCGCCAGGCGCCCCGGCCCCAGTGACCGCCGCCCCGAGCGAACCTGCGGGCCACTCTGTCGGCGGACGCCGGGGCGGGTCTGACGATTCTAGGGGCTCGGCGGCAGCGCGCGCAACGCATGCCAGCGTCGCCCGCCGTGAGCGGCCGGCTTCGCGGCAGTCGATTGCCCGGTCAGATCACCGTGGCAACGTTGCAACCTTGGAGCGGATCGACGCGTTCCTCTTGGCGACGACCGAGGGTGGGTCCTGGATGGCTGCCGTTGGCGGCCTTTTCAAAGTGGGCAGAGCTGTTTTCACCGTGCACTATGAGATCAGCGACGTTTCTACCGCAGACGCTTGGGCGTGTGCGCCGGAACCGCTGGGGCACGGTGGACTGCACGTGCTCTTCCCCGACAACGGCGCCGACCAGGCGGAGCGCGCGCGCGGGCATTGCGGCGACGTCTCTGCGTTCACCCTGCTGCCTAGGCGGCGCAACCGCCATGGCAGAGCCGCTCTGGTGACGCGCAGGAGCGCCGCTGCTGCACGGATCGCCCGGCGTGGGCTAGCTGCAGGGCGGCCGGCATGGACGGCGCGGCCAGCGTCCAGCGGGGCTGTTTGAGTTTTGCGGGCTGCGCGTGAACTGTCGCAGACTTGCGCGCGGGACAAGCGCGCTGCACAGGAGCTGATGTGCCCGTCGCCCAGGGGCTGCCCGCCACTCCCGGGGTGGGCGTGGAGCCGCCACTGACGCCGCCAGCGTCTGGCTGCGACGGGCGCCGCTGGCGCCGCGGGTGCCGCGGTCCGTCCGCCGCGGGCGCCGCGCGCGTCGCGTGCGCCTCGGGCGCCGCGGGCGTCACTCACTCCCCGCCGGCGCCGCGGGCGCCGTGGGCCCGCGGGCGCTGCTGGCGCCGCCCGTGCTGCTGGCGCCGCGGGCGCTGCGTGCGCCGCCGGCGCCTTCCCCGCGCCGCCGGCGCCGCGGATGCCGCGGGCGTCGCTGCGCTCTGGGGCCGCGGACGTTGCCGGCGCAGTGGGTCGCGGGCGCCGCGGCCGCCGCGGGCGCGGCCTGCGCCGCATGCCGCGGGGTGCTCTGGGCGCCGCCGACGCCGCGGGCGCCGCGTGCACCCTGCCCCCAGCCGTGGGCCGGATAGAGCGTCGTGGACAGATGAGGAGACTGGATATGAAGAAGAGCAGGTGGCCGTCAGCCGTACCCCTGGCATCCCCACTCTCCCACGCGGACAGACGGCCATCAGCTGCGCGGCGGGTGGGCCATCGAGAACGGGGGAGGAGGGCGCCCGCAGCGCCGACGCTGTGCTCGGGCTGATGGGGGCAGACCACATAATGGACGATGATGCTATCACTGAGGACGACCCCAGTCCCGATGGGTGGGGAGAGACAGCCGACAGACAGCCGACAGCTCCACTGGGAACCAAATCAGGACCGACAGCAGCGTGGCTGGGGAGGGTGTGTGTCGGCCATCTGCGGTTGGCGCTGCATGATCCGATCAATTGTGCTCGCGCGGCCAGCAGCCGTTCCCCTGGCTCGTCTCTCTCTCTCTCTCTCTCTCTCTCTCTCTCTCTCTCTCTCTCTCTCTCTCTTATCTCCTTCTCTTTCTCTTTCTCTTTCTCTTGCTCTTTCTCTTTATCGTTTTTTTTTTTTTTTTTTTTTTTTTTTGTGGTATTCCTCTCTCTCTGTATAGATATATATTATATTTTCTCTCTCTCTCTCTCTCTCTCTCTCTCTCTCTCTCTCTCTCTCTCTCTCTCTCTCTCTCTCTCTCTCTCCCTCTCTCTATATATATATATCTCTGCTGGGAAGGGCGGGGCGGCCAACAGCCGCGCGCGGTTCGCGCGCCCCAGCTGACTCTGCACGTGTCCGTTCTGGTTTTGCACACCTTGTCTCCTTTGTTCCAGCAGACTCGGGCGTCGCCCTGGACGCGGGCCCTCGGGCCGCCGCCCCGGGCCAGCCCGCAGCAACGCCGCCGCTCCGCGGAGGAGCTCCGCAGGCTGAGGGCTGTCCCCGCCGCCCAGGGCCCGCCGTCTGCGAAGGGTCAGACCCTGGCCAGCAACCGCTCCAGACAGCAGCCGGCAGTGGAGCTCGTCGCCGATGGCAGGGCTCTCGGCACCAGTGATGCTGCTGAAATAAGTGTCCTGGAACTCTGGAAAGAAACAAGAGCATGCGGCCATCGGCCGCATCCCTGGCAGCTGTGAACAAAATGTGTCATTTTTTTGACTTTTCGGGGGGGGCCAAAGCGGGGCTGCGAAAAGTAGAAAAGTAAAAAAAGTAAAGACGGGCAGAATGCAGAAAACAATGTGCGAAAAGTAGAAAAGTAGAAAAGTTGAAAAGTGTGTCCGGCAAACTGAGAGACACGAAAAGTAGAAAAGTAGGAAAGTAGAAAAGTGTACGATTGCTCCCCACGGATGCGAAAAGTAGAAAAGTAGAAAAGTAGAAAAGTAGAAAAGTGATGTTGTACTTTTCTACTTTTCTACTTTTCTACTTTTCTACTTTTCGCAATGGTCTCGTTTCTTCTTGAAGTTTGTGTTGCTCCTCTCTTGGACTGAGTGCTTCGCCTCGTCCTCATTACGACATGTTCTTGCAGCGTTCCCAGCGTATCCGTTTCATCTTCGACGTGCTTTTGCCGCTCTCTAAACATTTCGCCTGGTCGCTTGGCTGGCGTTCCCGACGTGTCTGTTTCCCGTGCCTCCTCCTGCGTTGCCCCGCCCTCTCTCTTTACAATTCGGTTTCTCCGCCTCCTCCTCCTCCTCCCCCTTCCCTCATTCTGCTCATCCTGCTCCCTCTCCTCGTCCTTCTCGCGGTAGTCCCCGATATTAAATTCGATCGGCGTCCTCTGTTAATTTTGTTTGTTGTGCACCACTTCCTCCTTCTCCGCATTTCCCCCACCGTTTTCCCGGCCCCCATTGCGTGCGTTCCCAGCGTATCCGTTTCATTTTTTTCTCCAGAGCTCCCTTGCCCTTGACTTCCCAATTCAAGGGGAACGAATCGCTATTATAAATTGCCCGAGGTGAAAACGCCGTAAACCAGACCAATTTCTGCCTCAGACAATGGCAGGGCGGGCGCGCGGGAAGCTGATGCAATCGGCGTCTTGCACTGAGTCTCGCCAGCTAGTGCGGCAGCGAGCTTTTCCTTAGAAAGCAGCAGCTGCGCGAGATGGGCAGTGTTGGCGTGGCCGCGGGCGTGGAAAATACGAAGAAGACGGCTTTGCAAGAGTCGCATCCAGCGGCTGAGGATGAGAATGTGCACTGTGGAGAGGCTCGCCTGAGACCGCCCCTTGTTCCGAGCCTGCCGCTGGATGTTGCGCCATAAGCGCTCGACCCCAATGCTGCCGAGGCTGATGTCAAACCCGTGGGCATGGGCCCAGGCCTTGATACGGAATGCCGCCAGCAGGCCGTGGACGTGGACGTCCTTGCATTGCTCCTGGACAGCATCGCAGAACGGCTGGTGACCCGCTGGAACAGCTTGGAGGCTTGTCGCTGCCGGCTGGGCGCTGTCTTCTCGTCGCATCACGGGCCGCCGCTTCTGCAACCTCAGCAAATACGCATGCTGAGCCCGGTGCCACGCGGTGCCGGCATCCCGCGGCACGCCAGCAAAACACGGCAAGCGCAATAAGTTCATCAGGCCTTGTAGATCTGATCGGATCGACTCGGCAGTCGGGAAAGACTCGTAGCAGGCGCGATATGCGACCGCCGTCGCCTCTGCGCGCGGAACCCCCGGGTTCGCCCAACGCGCGATATCGTCAATCACCACGGCCTTGGCGCACGGCGGCAGGATTGCACCGTTATCTGGATGCGTCCACTTGTCCGAAGCCCTGGCCTGGACCATCTTCAGGGCGGTCTGCGGCAGCCGCTGTGCACGGAAGTACGCAGAGAGGATGCTGGGGAGATTGACTACTGGTTGCGCTGGCCCCCGTCCCTCGGCGGTATCGGCAGCGGCATACAGCAATTCATCCTGCGCGTCCTGATGTTCGGCCCCGTCGTGTCCTGCGCGCACGAGGGGGTTCCAGCTGCCCAGGGCTTTCCGCAGGCAGCGGATTGCCCAGGCGGCCTCGCGAGATGAGAAATGGATGGCTCCCAGCAATCTCATATAAATATGTAACGGGTCCTCGCCGAGCTCGAAGCCAAACACCTTGTAAGTCGAGCGGTCGACGACGATGTGGCCGGCGTCCATCTGCGCGCGGATAAAATCATCCGCGGGGCTGTCCTGCATGACAACAGTGCCAGGAGGCAGAGCCGCCTGCAGACACGACACCATCATCGAGAAATCCGCCGCCAAATTGTCTGTGTTCGCCCCCATTGGCCGAGCGCCGTCCAGCTGCATCAACGTGAGCGCAGTCAGGAGGAGCTTCTCTTTCTGGGGCCGATTCTCAATCGGACAATACAGCGGCGGCAGAGGCGGTATATCCTCGAGTGCGGCAAGGCCCCCAAAGACCCGCTTGCGCTGGTTCCTGCCCCCGAGCGCTCGGCAGCTCAACTGCCGACAATCGGACACGCTGAAATCCATGTTGAGAACGGCCCCTGCGGCCGCCAACGCATACCTTGACAGGTCGACGCAAAGCGGCGTCCAAACGGCGTTTGCGTACGCCGACAGCAGTGACCCGAACGTCTGCGGATCTGGGGCAAGATCCGCAGCGCGGTCGAATGCCCGGAGCAGCGCCGCCCGCTCAAAGCCGGACAACTCGCCCAAGCGAGGGTGTTGAGACAGGGACCGCGCCATCGAGTCAGCGGTGGCTGCTGTCACGTGTCGGCGAACCGCCTCGTAGCACTCAGTTTCTTCGAAGACCAGCAACGCGGATGGCCAAAAGTCGCCCGCGACGACCAGCTTGCCCACGACGTCTGCAGAGAGCGATGCCCCCCCCGATGCGCAGGCACTCACGGGGACGGACCAGACGCGACCATGCGCCTTGCACTTGCACTTCTGGCACAGGCTGGCCCGCACGCCCACCGAGGAGAGCACTCGCGGTCCGGGCTGGCGCCCCTGGTTCACAATCTGGCAAATCTTGTCGTCCTTACCTGCATCGGGACAAGCGCGCGGCACTGCGGGGTTGCCGTCGGGATCTGTGAAGCGTATGGGAACGACAGCCACGCTCTCGTATACGTCTGCACACGCCTGCGAGAATGCGTCTCTCCAGGTGCTGAAATCCTCGAAGGCGCCAGCTGTCGCGGCCAACAACTCCTCCGTGCCTGTAGTCGCAAGCACTCCATTGTCAGGCGACGATCGAGCGGCGACTCGGTAGCATCGATGCCATGGCTTCTCCAAGCGGGGCTTTGAACCTGAACTCGCTGGCGCGCCCACGCGGGGTACCAACGTCTCTCGGCACACGATGTCAGGCTGCCAGCTAACAGGCGCCGAACGCAGGGGCTTCGCGAGCCGCCAACACGCCCCTGCACCGTCGGCGGCATGCTGGCTGCAACCGCATGCGCCACCTTCGCGCTGATAAAGCAGCGCTTCGATTGCATCGGGGCCTCCCACGCTCACCACTGCAGCGTAACACTTGCTTTCGGCCAGCCACACCGTCTGCCCGACTGCGGGCGCCAGCTCGGGGCCACGCTTGCTGGCACCGCTAAGAAGAAAGCGCAACCGCGATCCATTGAAGATGGAACTGGGGTTCAATTGCATGGCGACGGTGCCGCCAAGACGGGCCGTCTTGGTAGCCTCGGCGATGTCAGCATACGCCAGATCCCTGGGGAGCGCCACAGCCGCCGTAGAGGTGGCTGTGGCGCTCCCCAGGCCTGCGTTCTGCGCTGTAAGCGCCTCATGAGATTTCGTTTTCTTGCGCAGGCGCCAGGGCTTCAATACGCAGAATCGGCGGCGTGGTCGAATCTGCTTCTTGGACACCCTTGCTGGTTGCCGGCGGGCGCGATGGACTGGCAACGCCGAGATCGAAGGGCGGCACGAGTGGCCCTTGAGCACGAGGTTCAGCCGAAGAAAAACCTTGCCGCATGACCTGCACTTCCAACCCTCGGACAGACGATCGACACCGGCCGCCAAACTCTCGAGAGCAGCGGCCTTGGCCGCGTGGAGCGCATGGAACGCTTGGTGCCTGTCCATCGTTCTCTGCATGTGTTGCCCGGTGGCTGTGAATCGCCACGTGCGCCCCCGCGCAAAACAATGTTTCGCTGGGAGGGCGAAGCATGGGCAGCCTGGGAACACATCGCAAACCAATGTCTGCTCGGCGCCCGGCTGCATCTGCTCGGCTTTCCGCGGGGGCGGAGCGCACGAGCCATGCGCCTTGAGCCTAGATGGCAACACTGGCAGGGGCAACGGTAACGGGGCGAGGAAGGAGATCAAAGACGGCCCAAGAGGCTCCCAAGACCGCCCCAAGACGGCCAACGAGGCCACCAACAGGGCCCCCAAGACGGCCCATGTGAGCAACAAGAGGGCACTACGCGGGGCCCGAAAAAGGTGAATACGGCATAATATTTCGAGAGTTCCCCTCCCCTCCCCCCCCAAAAAAAAAGCCCAGAAGGGCCCCCTCAGAGCCCTCCGAGTCGCGTCCAAAGAGGTCCCCAAGAAGCACCCAGGAGCCCCCCCCAAGAAGGCCCCCGAAGCTCACAACATGGCCCAAAAAGCCTTCCAAGAGGCCCCTGAGAGGCATTCCAAGAGCCCCTCATATGCTGCCACAGACTCTTGACCCACAAGATATTTTCGAAGAACGTGCGAGCTCTCACTTGTCTTGGGGATCGGCGGAATAGGGCGCACCACTTGAATAATAGTTGCGGGGCGAGGGTGACACGAGCTGGGCGACAAAATGTTTAATGCCGCCCGTTCCCAATGTATCCGTTTTGATCCGCTCCCGCGCCTGATCATCCTGGTCCTCGTCCTCCTCCCCCTCCTCTTCCTCTGCTCTTCCTCCTCCTCCTGCAATCCCTGGCGGTGGCCCCGGCGGTGGCGATGGTCCACTTCTTGCTTCTCCTCCTCATGCTCCTGCTCCTGCTACTCCTCCACCTCCCCCTCCCCCTACTCCTGCTCGTCACCGTGTCGTTCCCAGCGTATCCATTTCCTCGCCCTCCTCCTCCTCCTCTTCCTTCTCCTCCCGTTCCCCCTCTGTCTCCAACCATCGTCCTCGCCCTGGCCATCCCCGTCCTCATTTTCCCCGCCTGTTGGATTGCCCTCCCCCATGCCGCCCACCTCCTCCTCTCCTCCTCCTCCTCCTCCCCCTCCTCCTCTTCTTCTTCCTCCACCTCCTCCACCTCCTCCTCCTCCTCCACCTCCTCCGCCGATTCTTTCCTAGTGGCGTTCCCAGCGTATCCGTTTCCTCCACCTCCCCTCCCCTCTCCTCCTCCTCCTCCTCCTCCTCCTCCTCCTCCTCCTCCTCCTCCTCCTCCTCCTCCTCGTGCTTCCCATCATGTTCCTCCTCGACTTCCCCCCATCTGGGCCCCGGCGCTGCAAACCTCGGCGGCGGCCCTGGCGGACGGGCAGGAGAGGGAGGGAGCGACTTAACCATTCCCCGCGTATCCGTTTGACCCGCTCCTAGCGCGGGGCGGAGGGGGTGGGGGTAGGAGCATATGGGGAACAGCCACAGCAGCAACAGCAGGATGCGTGGTGTTGTCCCCGACGTATCCGTTCGGCTCGGTTGATGGCGAAGAGGACATGACGACGACGCCGACGACGGCGGCTGCGGCGACGATAAGCGGCCAGGATGACGGTTGAGAGGATGACGGTTGAGAGGATGACGGTTGAGAGGATGAAGCGGATAAGCGTTTTCACGTGCCACGCATGTATCCCCAGCGCGCTTTATCCACTTATGCGTGTAGAGTTGAACACTTGGGAGCCTCAAGAGCCGTCTACATCGGGGGCAGAAAGCTGCAACTTAGTGCACGCCTCATCGGACGCGCGAACTGTGTCATGCAGCCAATTATAGCCATCCGCTGACCATTTGATGAGGATGTTCTTGCCGTCCTGGCTGAGGGAAGCGACGCCTTTCTCGGCGCAGAGTTTGAGCATCGCCTGCCACTGGCCGGCCCTCCCGTATTCGTTGAGGTTCTCGATGCCGCCGTACCTGCTGAGCGCGTCCACGTCCCGCTTCCGCTTCCGAGTGAAGTATGTCGCACGGTATGCCAGCCAAGTCTTGTCGGTGATGTTGATCCTCAGCGGGATGCCCGTCGTCGCGGCTGCTTGCCACATCTTTTCCTCCTGCTCCGCGGACATGGATTCGAAGAGGCGGCGGACTGCGTACTGCTCCGGCTTGAGCTGCACGCCCCCTGCTGCGTCGCCCGCTGGCGGCGGCGGCGGCGGCCCCTGTCCTGGGCCGTCGCCCGCCGGCGGCGGCGCCCCCCGCGAGTTCCGCCTGGGACCGTTGTCCGCGGCCATGGCGTCCCCCTCGCGCTCGATGCTCATCTGGTTCACGCTGTAGATCTGCGTCTTCGGCACGCTGGCGAGCGCGTCCAGAGTGCGCGCAGTGTCGTCCAGCGGGGCGCCAGGCAAGCCAATCCGCAGCACGCCGTTGCGGATCCCCAGGTTTGATACCGAGGCGGCCCCGAAAGCCTTCCCCGCGTGCTTCGTGACCACGGAGACCCCGGTCCCCGAAGACACGTCCCTGCACGCCTGTCCCGCGCCATTCATGTACCCAGCGAGGATGACAGCAGCCGCAGGCGACCATTGCACATGAGGAAGTTCGGGGGCGCCGACTGCGACGGCACCGCCATCGGCGGGCTCGGCGGCGGGCGGCTCTGCATTTTGCCGCTTCTTCCTCGGGCGGCAGGTCAGTGCCTCGTCGCCTGCATTGGCCGCGGCAGCCTTGGGTCGGCCCCGCCTCTTGGTTCCGGGAGCCGCCTGCTGCGCCCCCCCCTCATCGCCTCCGGCCTCGGCGCCGCCGCCGACGCCATGCCCGGGCGGCGCGGCCTGCCCCGCGCCGCCCGCCTCGGCTGCCGGGGGCTCCGGCACGACTCGCTGCTGCGCCTCCGCGATCATCGCGAGGGTGGAACCCAGAAGACTGTCGCTGGCCTTGCGCGGGACGAACTTGTCCTCGAAGGGCGTGTCGAATACCTGGGCCGGGTCCAGAGCGATGATCACCAGGCGCAAACGGCCGTTGGACCCCTGTCCACCCGCGAGGTTTTCCAGGTACGCCTTGCGCTGGCTCCCGAGGAACATCCAGCCGTCTGGTTTGCAGCATAGCAAACAGCCCTGGACGCCCTTTCCAAAAGCGTCGCTCCCGTCTAAGAATTCTATCAGATCTTGTTCTTGGAAATGGCGATCTTTTCGCCGATTCACCACCTTCTCCAATTCTTCGTTAACGATCTGTACTTGAAGATTGCCCTCCTGCAGAGCCGTGAGCACCCCGAGCACGGTCAGATTGCCCTGCTTGAGGACGTTGGTGCATGACGGTGGCGCACCGGACTTCTCCACGTACTTCAACCACCCGAGGATGACGTTCTTGGCGTTCCCCTTGCCAGTGGCGGACTCGCCCATGCACACGAGGGCCAACTTGCTGGCGGCGACGTTCCAGTCGCTCTCGCTCCCGGCGACTGCCTGGACCTGGACGCAGCCCTGCTTGCCGGAGTGCAGGAAAGCCGCCTGCCCCTGAAACATGCTGTGGACGACGTGCCCGTCGCGGGGCAATCCGTTCCCGAGCGCGACGCGCTCGCACGCCGTCGCTACCTCTTTGATGGCAACGGCTTTCAACGGAGTCTTCCGCTGCGACGCCAGCCCGTCGCAGTCATTGCTCGGGTTGAGGAGGCCGGCGTAGAACTCCTTCGTGTTGGAGGCGATGGCCGTCATCGGATCCTCGTCCTCCAGCAAACCGGACATGTCGGTCTCTTGCAGAACTGCTTCCACGTCGTAGAGTTCGTCGCAGAGGGCCTCGAAGAACGCATTGCGCTCATCCGCGCCAGCCTCGCGAAGTCGAGCAGCGAGGTCTTTGGGAGATAGCTCATCGCACGCAGGCCCACTGGCCGATTGCGCCCGGGACGCGTTCCAAGCGTCAAGGGCTGCCATATAAATTCTGTTCTGGAAGCCTGCGCCAGGATCTGGCGAACCTTTGATGCGATCCAGCATGGCCTGGTAGGACGCCGACCCTTGGCGGTTCAACCTCTGCAAGATTGACCGTGCCAATCCCGTGCGTCCACGGGGGCTCGACTGCGAAAGCGTGGCCTCGACGCGGTCGTGTGGCGATGGCGGGGCTGCCGCTGGCGCACCTGCAGGGTCGTGGCGGCCGGCGCCGGGCGCCTCGCCGGCGTCGCCATCGCCCTCCGCCCGGTCGTTCATTGTAGCGGGGGCGCTGGCGCCGGGCGTCTCGCCGTCGTCGCCGTCGCCCTCCGCCTGGTCGTTCATTGAAGCGGGGGCGCAGCCAGCAGTCTCGGAGTACAGCGACGGCGCCAAGGATTCTGGCTTGACCACGGTCTTGCAATTGGGGCATGTATTGAATTCGCCAAGCCACCGGGTGAGGCAGTCTACGTGGAAGTCGTCGCACGCGCACTCCAAAATGATGCACTCGTCGGAGACGACCTCGTTGCAGATGGTGCAAGTCTTCGCTCCAGTGGCAGCCCGGCGCGGCAAAGCCGCGCAAACGTACGCAGGAACACTGCGGACCGTGGTGGGGACGGGCGCGAGACCGGACAGCGTGCCGAAATCTTCTGGCTCCAGGTCTCGATGCTGCAAGGCGTCGAGCTCTGGGGCGAGCTCTGGCGAGGCCATGGCGTTAGCAGCCCTCCCGCGTCAGTGCAATGGAGGGGATGCTGGGCGGGGTGATTGGTCCTTGGTGGCTCTATTTTGCACGCATCGGGAAACTGCATGTAACATGAAATAATGATAATGCTGGCGATGGCGATGGTGACTCTGATGGCGATGGAGACTCCGATGAGGCTGCCAACTGGCATAATATGATAACTACCATCCCGGTGGCATAGCGTCACATAGCATAGCCAGCATCAGGGAAAGCGTGGCGTAGCATAGCCAGCATCGGGATAGCGTGGCATAGCATAGCCAGCATAGCGTAGCATAGCATAGCCAGCATCAGCATCATCATGCCCTTTACTTGCGTTCCCAGCGTATCCGTTTCCTCCTCCTCCTCCTCCTCCTCCTCCTCCTCACCCTCATCAGCATCATCATCC